AAGACGATTATCAAAAGAAAATTCGGAGAAAAATTTTCAATGGCATGAGCCTTAAGTGAAAAACGACACTCCGTCGCCTAGTATCAATGTAGCGCACTACGGTTTCACGGCTTACGAGGCCTCGAATTGCGTTCACACGACAGACAATACGCGGCCAGCGTGGTGCCGTTGTTTCAGCGCGGAATCACTTTCCGCGCCGAATAAGCCTCGTATTTCAGTACGGTACTTGGGAGGCCGCCATGCTAACAACAGTCTGTTGTCGGTGACATTTTGGAAGCGTTAAAATATTGCGCCGGCGTTCATTTGCCTAAAAGCGGCCGAGACACCCCAGGCGATGCCATCGGCGATGCAATCGCGCCCGATGGCATCGGCCGTGAAAATCGCCTGGGTGTTGGTCCACTCAATCGCCGCCGATGGGCCATCCACATCAGATTAAAAACGTTTTGAATTTATCGGCCGATGCCACGGTCCGATGGCATCGCCCGATGCCATCGCCTGGTGTGTCGCGCGACCGGCGCATAACATCGGCCCCCCTCCCGCCCGCCCCGATTTTACAATTCATCAGCCAATCGAGTTGTGCAAGATACTATGCCATCGGCCGATGCCATCGCCGATGAACCATGGTTGCCTGGCTGTGGTCACGACTCGCGATAGCCAGTGGGCGCCGATGCACGCCCGATGAAAGTGGTGTGTCCACGACTGCGCGATGCCATCGGCCGATGGCGTCGGGCGATGGCATCGCCTGGTGTGTCCGGCGATGAGACTGATATTGTGAAGAGCGTATAAAGAAGGAGAGCGTACAACGGTGAAATGCTGAAACCATGTTGCAGTATTAGTCGAATTAATAAACTTTCCCCGTTTTATTTTGACGATTCTTTGCAGTATTATTGATCAGCTGTCCTACCTTGTTTTAAAATATAAAACAAACCTTCTTTATACGCTTGTGAATCAAGTTTTTCCCCATACCGGTAACTGTACGCGGGCTATAGTACTAGAGCTAGCTTATAGGTAGAAGGGGAATGAAGGAGGAATTTAGCAGGAGTATCATAATTAATGTAGACAGTCACTATATTATAGACAGTCTATCGTATGACACTCATGCGTTTATGGTATAAAACCGAGACGGCGTCTGTACAGAGTAGCTGTACTCGCTTATTACTTACTCGACAATTCTCGGGTTTTCTTTCGACATTTCAAATTGCGAAAATGAGGCAAAAATCAGGACAAGGCAACACATTCAGCGCAGGCAGGCTGTCGAGCTAACAGTCACAATCGATTGCACGCAGAAGGCATAGGGGCCCCAAGGCTAATCGTGTCTAGCCGCGAATAGAGCGGGGATTCTTGCCGTTTGATAATTCTACGCTACCGTTCGAAATGCGGGTTACCTCGGTGAGCCGGTTACGTGTTTACGTGAGCCAGTACCGGTTACGTCTTCGTGTACTGTGAGTCGCTGTATACATCCACCGAGGATAGAATGCATATCAACATGAACGAGGAAAGAACGCATGCTCGTACTGCCAACGAGTAGGCCGTGATTGACTGAGAACTTGAAGGTCCCAGAGTCAATGGGTGAAAGCGCTAAGGGGTAGTTTTAAGATGGTTTTAAGTACGTATTTTGACGGACGCGTTGGGAAACATTCCAGCGTAGCGTTTTCGTGACTGTAAAGAAGGTGTCCCCACTGGCAGTTCAGAATCTGACATGTTACACCGCCGGCTATACTTAGACGTTCTCCGGCTCGTTTCTACGCAGGAAAAAGACTAGGAACAAGTCTAACGGTACTGTCTGCTATTGCAGCACATATTCTGGTGGGTGGAGATTGGATCAAATTTGGTGAAACATGCACACAGCAGCTTTTGGAGTGGTGCATACAGAATAAACATCGTTTAGTAAATGAAACATTCATGAACTATGCATTCTAGTACTGATGTCCTCAATTTAAAGTGGCAGTCCGCTGAGTTCCTAGCCCTGAACATGATGGGTAATATCTAGTGTCTTAATTGTTTGTGATTCCCTAAATAAGAAAGGCTCAAGGCTTTAATACCCAGCAGGTTAGTTTTGTGATCTAATTAATTGACCATATTAGTCGTGTTCATGTGTACAAATTGCTGATGTATGTGCTTGAAAAATATTACCACGACCAACCACCAGCAGCAAGCCCACTGCCTCTGCTGCAGCTGTTGCTACTGTTACTACTAGTACTAGTACTTTACTATTAGTACTATTACTACTAGTACTACTATTATTTCTACTATAAGTAGCAATAGCAGTAGAAGCTGCAGGTGCAGCACCTAAGCTAGTAGGAGTTGAAGAGCAGCAGTAGTAGCAACAGCAGTAGTAGCAACAGCAGTAGTAGCAACAGCAGTAGACTAACAACAGCAGTAGTAGCAACAGCAGTAGACTAACAACAGCAGTAGTAGCAACAGCAGTAGACTAACAACAGCAGTAGACTAACAACAGCAGTAGTAGCAACAGCAGTAGACTAACAACAGCAGTAGTAGCAACAGCAGTAGACTAACAGACAGCAGTATAGTAGCTATACGCGTGCATAGCAATGCACACACATGCGCGCATGCAACAATATACGCGCGCAAGCATGCAAGCACCTACATGCGGATAATATGCTCAGCATGATCAGTTATATAACAGATTATTGAATATATATATATATAATATATAGATTTAACAGTTATAGAATAGATTATAGAATATATATAGATATAACAGTTATAGAACAGAATATAGAATATAATATAGATATAGCATAAACAGTTATAGAAACGACATTTTTTTAAATTAGAATATAATATATATTGATATAACAGTTATAGAACAGAGGCTGCTGCTCTTATAGGTTGATGCTCGTCTCGCTCGTCTCTCCCCCCCCCTCTCCCCCCTCCCTCCCCTCCTCTTCTCCTCCCTCCCCTCCCTCTCCCCTCCCATCATAACCCCTCCCCTCCCCTCCCCACACCCTCCCCACTCCTTCACACTCGACCCGCCGTCTCCCCTCCACCTCCCCTGCACCCTCATCTCCGCGCCTTCCCTTCCCCTTCCCCCTCCCCCACCCCACCCCCCGGGCGGAGGAGGCGCCTAACGCCGTCGGCTTGGCTGCGTGCTCAGCTTCCTGCTGCCGACTGCTGATGCCGATGTGAACTCCCGGCGGGGCGGAAGCCACGTAATGACCGCCTCGCTGCGCAGGCTGGTTAGTCAGTTCCTGTCCACATCACAGGCAGGTGGTGCAGGGGGGCGTGGTGGCGAGGCGAGCGAAGTAGAATTTATTGGGGTGGGGGTGTGGGTGGCGTGGGGACTGGGGGGGGGGTGGTGGGGCGAAGGTGTGGGCTGGTTGTGGGCTGCTCCTTAGGCGAAAATACGGAGGGCGCGGAGAGAGTGTGAGAGTCTGTGTCAGTATGCTATTCGAGCAGTGTAGTAGGGGGGGGCAGGTTGGTGCTCCGCTGCGCTGCTGCTGCTGGCTGGCTCGGCTGCTACTTGCTGATGGTTGGTGGGTGTGGTAGTCTGCTGGGGCGTGGCTGGCGTGCGGGCTGGGATGGGCGGTGGGGTCCCGTCTGCTGCGGCTGCACTGGCTGCTCTGCTGCTGCTGATGCTGGATGGGTTGCGGGTGGTGGGTGTTGACGTGGGGGGGGCTGCGCTGCTGTGCTGGCTGGGCTGGGCTGCTGCTTCTGATGGCGGGTGGTGGTGGTACTGGGGGGGGGGTGGGGCTGCTGCTGGCCGCGTTGTGGTTAGTTATTTGTTGTTGTTGCTGATGTGGGGGCTGCTCGCTAGGCTTTCTGCTGGTGGTCGTGCTTGTTTGTTAGTCGTTGTCTGGTTGGTTGTTGCTGCCTGCTGCTGCTCTGCTGCTCTGCTGATGCCATCTGATGCGGTGGATAACGCTGGGCCGTGTTGGGCGTGTACGCATACACGTCACGCACACTCTCTATAACGTACAGGCATATCAAGAGCCGACAGATTGATCAATACTAGTCACTGCGAATTCCCAAACGCTGTGCGCTGCACGCTTTATTCTATAATGAAGACTAGGATAGCGGACTACTATGTGTATATATATAATATATAATATATATACTACTATATATATATATATGAAATTGTTAGTTGCCACACAAGAGCAAACAAACTGGAAACTGTAAATATACATCATACACAAGTTATGACCTACCAAACAACTACCAAGATGCATCACAACTCCGGTTTGCTCATTCTTACCATAAATAGATTTTTGTGATTTTTTTTACCAGTTCAAAAACACATTTATTTCTAAAGTTCGTTATCCAGCGAGTTCATTATGTAGTTAATTAAAGCACCGAGGTCATGAAGTGCATTCGGTAATTTGACGGTGCAGGTTGATTGACTATGCAGATTAATTGACAAGGTAGATTGCTTGACCATGCAGGTTGATTGACCTAGTTGGTTGTTTAGCCATAAAGGTTTGATGGTGAGGTTGGCCATATATATGCAGAATAACGTAGGCTTCTGTGTATATATATCTTTGAGGCAGATGCATATATATACGTGTGTAATATATATGTGTGTAATTGTGCATCGTAAAAACAATTCCTTTCATTTGTATTCATTTGTGTTCAACTTCAGTATATATTTTTTCAACAGGGCATATATTGAACATTGTTACATTATATCAGGAGCGTATAATGACAATACCTGATTATATTCATACATAGTTTAAATTAAAAGTACATAAGATATACGCAGTCGTATATATAGAAGTAGTATATCGATGTTAGTTTCCTAAACCAGTCCTAATGAGCCATTCCCAATTAAATGAATTTAAATCCTCAATCTGCTAACAAAATGCAAAAAAAAACATCAGCAATTTTTAGATCGTAGTGTCTAGTGGCATTGCACATATATGCTTATATCAAGAGTCCATAATAGAAAAGAGATTTTCTATTATATACTCTTGATGCTTATCAATCTAAATCTGTTGGTTATTCTGTGCATTTACACATTTTTGATTTGCTCGTTTCAG